TGTGTAAAGATACTATATATTAGATCAGATATATATTATTGTTGTTACTAGATCAGCAAGTTCTATTTCCTTATATCAGATCATTTAAGCTTCTAACAAAATCGTACACTTTTAATTATGAAATTTAAGGATTCTTTAAAGAATAACTCTCTGCTCAAAAAATTAAAATAAACTGCAGAAATGTCTAATATAAATGCTACCTTACGTCTGAAGTTATTCAAGAGTTTTTTAAAAGTCCAAAGAATTATTCTTGGAATGTAAGTTTTGCTAAGTAAGCATAATCAACAAGTTTCCAGTTTCTCTTTCCCGAAAACTTTATTTCAATTTGAATAGATTATTTTTGACTACTCCAGACATTGTTTCATTGAATCCTTTTAATAGTTTAAAAGCTTAAATGCTTGATTCATTTATTTTTTGACATTTATTCGCAATTACTGAATTTTTTATGTTATACATGATAAATTTGGTAATAAATTCATATTTAATAACAACTGAAAATGAAGTTTAGTTATGAATACTACCAAATAAATCCATTTGTATAAAAATATAATAAAATATTATCTTAAATAATTTTTTAAATATGTTAGTAATAGATTAAGAATGTTCTAAGCCAGATGGAATAATAATTATTCATTATGATTATAGAATGTAAAAATTACATAATTCAATGATTAAGTTGAGACTGTAAGTGAAGATTTAATATTAATATACCGTGCGAAAAATTAAAGTCAGACCACCCTGAATAACTTTAGTTTATGATCAAATTTTCATGTTCTGGGACTGAATCCTTAAGATTTGAGAAGGTTACCTCAAATATGCTAATTAATTAGTTTGGCCGATATTTTAAAATACGAAATTAGGCTCAAAAACGTACTTTCTCTGAATAAACATACCCTTTTTTCGATGGATTCAAACTTCTGACCCCCAAACTATATATGAAAAATTTCAAATATTTACTGAAATATATTTTCTGCATGGAATTATCTTTGGATAAACGAATTTTATAATTGTTTGTAAAAAATTTTCAAAACGCTTCAATAAGTTCTCGAGATATGGCGAAATACGCAAAAAGTAAAATTAACATTAAGGGGTTTAAACTTTGGGATCGATCTCCTGACCGAATTATGGGGACCAAAATTCTAGATTGCGGCTGTACCCTATATTTTGGGGGTCAGAATTCCGAATCAGTTGAAAAAAGAGTATGTTTATTTGGAGAATATACGTTTTTGTGTCTGATTTCGTAACTTAAAATATCGTCTAGACTAATTAATTATTATACTTGGCGTTACCTAGAACATGAAGTTCCGATCATTAGATCAAAAGTTAATAAAGGTGGCACGTTTCTTTGGCGCACTGATATTTTAGATAAGAATTCCTTGTGTTGAGAATTCAGAATTTAAGGATGATAAATAGAATATAATGCTGAAGTTAAAAATTGTTTTGAATTCCAAATATTTGAAAATATATCTTAAAAATTAATAAAAAACTATAATTTTTTTTCTTCAAAAATTAAATATTGAAATTGTTTAGAGGCCTCATAGATGACATAAACTGAATTTATTCATATGTCTTAATTTTTAGAATCGTTTCCGTACTGTGGGCTTAGATATATCCATATAAATCATTAATTTATCATTTTTTATTCAAAGCCTTGAATTCACAAAAGAAAAATTTCTTTCCGATCATCCAATTATAAATAATGAAAAAATATTCGACTTATCCAATTACAAATGAAATTTTTTCTCCAAAATTATCATTGCAAGGGAAAAGTTAAAAAATCAATGGTTTATCTTATCAGAAAAAGTCAAAACACCCAAAAGCTTCGCAAACTTTAAAATATAGGAATTGTGAATGAAGACTGAATAAAAATTTAGATGATGTTGCACTGAAAAAAAGAATGAAAAATCGCCAGAATCTGGTAAAATTTACCATGCTGATGTGTATCTTGCTTTATGTACCAAAAAAAAAGAAAAGTAAACTATAAAATATGGTTTTATTACCATGCTATTCAGTAGTAAATGTGGTGAAGATATAGTCCTATATCTATATTTAAAATTAAAAGAAATTGAAATAGATGTATAATAAATCTTGGAATTTATGTTTTAAATAAATAATTATTTCAATTATATTTTAATTTCTTTTTACTATATCTTTCTTTTACTACGCATTTACCTAAAAGAAGGAATATAATAATAATTACTGTGTGGGAAGGATTTATCTATGATCTTTAAAAATAAATTTTGTATTTTTTTAACATGCAATTAAATTTGTAAAATTATAATATCTATTTGCCATAAATACTCCTATATCTATATTTAAAATCATTAGAAATTGAAACAGATATATAACAAATCTGGAACTCATGTTTTAAATAAATAATTATTCTCAATACATATTAATTTCTTTTTATTGTATCTTTCTTTTACTATGCATTCGTCTAAAGGAAAGAATTCTCTATGTGAATCAATTTGTTTTAGCATTTTCAATACTATCTATAATCTTTAAAAATAGATTATATTGAATTATTTTTAACAAGCTGTAAAATCTGTAAAATGATAACATCTATTTGCTATAGATAGTCTTATATCTATATTTAAAATCATTAAAAATCGAAATAGATACCTAACAATTCTTGGAACTCATGCTTTAAATAAGTAATTATTTTAAATATTTTAAATTTCTTCTTATAGTATCTTTCTTTTACTGTGCATTCGCCTAAAAGAAAGAATTTTCTATGTGAATCAATTTGCTTTAGTATTTTTAATACTATCTATAGTCTTTGAAAATTGATTATATTGAATTATTTTTAACAAGTTGTAAAATCTGTAAAAGGATAACATCTATTTGCTATAGATAGTCTTACATCTATATTTAAAATTATTAGAAATAGAAATAGATTATAGTAATAATTTCCTTTTACTGTAGGCCCAGTTTTACAGGTAAAATTGAATACATTTTACGAACAACTATATAAATTTTTTTGAGAAAATACAACAAATATTTTTCAATCACAAACTCATATTTTACTTTAATTAATCAAAAAAAAATTTTTTTTTGGGTTAACAATTTCTATGACTAATAAAGTGATATGAAAAACACTTTTCAACATTCCTTTTTTAAAATCCTTTACAAGAGTATTCTTAAATATACTATATATATATCTCTAAATATACTATAATTTTGGTTCAATATTTTCAAATGTGTTTACAGTTTATTGTTTTATTTTTTTTCAAATGATTGCAAACTGTAGACTATTTTTTCTCAAACATAAAAAAAAAATGCTTGGAGTAATAAATTACATTATGATTAAAATGAAAAATTTTTAAAGCTTTATATTGAAGGAAATAATTTGATAGAATTAATTTCAAAAACTTATAAATTTTAATCTAACCTGCTTTTCACGGTTCTTTTCTAAGCCGGGCGAAATCTTGCAAACAGTGGTCTTTTGGTAAATCTCCAGCCCATGGTATTTAATATAATCTAGATTAAGGAACGCCTTCGTGACTTTGGGAGACATACAAGGTAGAAGATGGGGAACACCAGGATGAAAAGTCTGTTTTCAGATACCGAATCTTTCTCCTCTTTTAATCTCTCCTTCATTTATGCAGTGGAGCTATCTTCCAAGGCTCTGTACAACCGGCGGCCATGATGGCATACACATTCCCTTTTCGCACATCTGAAAATACAGAGGGCGCTGACGTCGTTTTTCTTCCCCTTTCCCTAAATTCGTTGCCAGATCCCTTAGATTGAACGTAAATGCTGGAACCGTCTGCAGAAAACAAATGTGTAAAGATACTTGGACTCGTTTTTGCAGCTTAATTTATTATTTTTGTATACATCTTTTTATTTCTTTTCCTTCCATATTTTTCAGAAAAAGCAAGCTGCTGCTGAATATCTTTTCATTCTTAAGTTTACTTTTGCCACAAAGACTAAAAATTCCGTAGTTTTGTTTGCTTTAGTCTTTTTAGATCGTAGAACTTATCACGAATGAACATCTTGTATTATTTTCACTTCGAAGTATTGGAATTTTAGAGATGTTATTGGAATTTTCGAAAAACCGTATTTTAAAATCGTTATTTGTTTTTTTTCTCTTAGAAACAGATATTCTTTAAAAATTAATTAGAGAATATAAAAGAAAAAGTTTTTCTTTAATTCTCTGAAATCCAGCTTAAAATCCTATAGTGAAACAATGTTTAATTTTGCTCGGTTCATTCTTTATAATTAATTTGCATGCCACTTCAAAGTTTCAAGATTTTTATCTTTAACCTAAATAAAAGTTTAACTTTACATTTAAGCTTTTAATTAGTTCGAATAAGTTTAAGGAATGCTTTTCGATTTGCTTTAAAAAATGTTACACTTAACACGGATTCAAGTCATTCATTTCGCAATTTCTTGAATATGTGCGGTGCAATTAATAAGTAAGAGCATTTTAATTTCAGGATAAAATAATGAACTCGTCCCCAAAAACTCCTAAATTACTAAAAAATTTTACATATGAATAAAAGATAAAATGATAATAATTTATTCTTGCAAATATATTTAATACGAGCTTAATAAGAAAAATTAAAAATACATTAATGGAATATTCACAAAAAGGATGGAATTTAATTTATTTCAATCTGTTTAAATGGTAGTCGTAGTGTCTCAGAGGATAGAGCTTTCTCTTTCCAATGAGGTGAGCTGGGTTCAAATCCCAGCGATGGCTGATCAATACAAATCCCGCACCCGTTTCGTACCGACTACAGAGTTGACGTGAAAATATCCGCAGTGACAAACGGATCATGGGATAGAGTCCCCTTGTCGTCAGCCTAAAAGTGAGAAGTTTGCGTGGTTTATCTCTCCATGTAATACAAATGCGGGTTAGTTCCATCAAAAAGTTCACCACGAAGGTAAATTTCTCCCAATATTTGATCCAGGAGTTCCCTTGTCTTCTGGATCGGGTTCAAAAATTAAAAGGCTACGGAGAGGAGCATTGATAGTCGTAAACCCGAAATTGGGTTGGCTGTTCAACGACGGTTCTAAAATAAAATAAAATGTGTTTAAATGGTGCAGTTTATTTTTTTCAGATGCTTTTATTTATGGATAAGAATCTTATAGTTTGCATTTTTAGCATCTCTATAAATTTAGGCAGCTTAATATACTTTTATACGATCTCCTGAAACGTAGTTTATTTGCATCTAATATGGCAATGAACTGTAGTAAAAATTTAAGCTTCCTTTAGATATAACAATAAATATTTTCCGCTAATTTATTGCAACGCTGTTTTTTGTTGTTCCAAAATATCTGCACACAGAGAGAAAGATTCTGTTGGATTTACCATACTTCATGGTTAAAATAACCAAAATATAAGATATTTAAATGATTCGTTTGGAAATTTTCCTTTCATGTGGCAACGGTTTTCGGAAAATTCTGGTTTTTTAAATTATAGTTTCTAACACTACACATTTAGTAAAAAATACAAAACATAAATTTTAATTTAGCCGAATAAATGGTTTCTAATGAATGGTTTATCGAATAATGGTTTAGTCGAATAAATTGTTCCTGCTCTAAGGTATTATGATAAAATTTCCAAATTTTACCATATTTATTAAATTTTATCACATATTTTAAAACCATATTTTACTGTTCATTTTAGCAAAATCGTTACCAAAGCAGTTGAGGAATTTTTTTGGTGAGAAACTATGTAAATTTACCATATTCTAGAATTTTGACCATAATTTTTTTTCTCGGTGTATAATTGAAAAAGAGTAACATTCGAATTTTGGAATATGCAGCATTAGTGATTTTTTTCTAGTATATACTTATGAAATTAGCAAAAACTTCAACTCACATCTTCCCATTCTACTTGTTCGGGTAAATACCTCGGCATTTGAGCTTTACTTTGAGAACAACAATTAAAATTCTGTTGGAGAACAAATTCATTTTGCTCTAACTTATTATGATGATAACTTTTTTAATGATACCTTTGTTGTAATCTATTTTGAAGGTAACAAATCAATGTAATATCAATAACTATTAAAAAGCAGTTCTAGATATTAAAAAATAAATAAGTAAACTAGTGAGGTTAATATGTTAATAATTCAGAAATAGAAAACTGTATTTACGAAAATAAGTGTATATCAGGGCCATTTCTCAAAATCCACAATTTTTAGGATCACTTAGTCGTTCCAAAAATTGCTGATGAATTGAAAAATCATCAAAGGAATACGAATGGGTATAGAATTGTACAGTTTGCTATTTTCTGTTTGGGAAACTAGAATATTTATTCTCACTGGATATTAAATTTAATTACAAAAATTGTCGATANAAAACCGTATTTTAAAATCGTTATTTGTCTTTTTTTTCTTAGAAACAGATATTCTTTAAAAATTAATTAGAGAATATCAAAGAAAAAGTTTTTCTTTAATTCTCTGAAATCCAGCTTAAAATCCTTTAGTGAAATAATGTTTAATTTTGCTCGATTCATTCTTTATAATTAATTTGCATGCCACTTCAAAGTTTTAAGATTTTTATCTTTAACCTAAATAAAAGTTTAACTTTACATTTAAGCTTTTAATTAGTTTGAATGAGTTTAAGGAATGCTTTTCGATTTGCTCCAAAAAATGTTAATTACACTTAACACGGATTCAAGTCATTTATTTTGCAATTTCTTGAATATGTGCGGTGCAATTAATAAGTAAGTGCATTTTAGTTTCAGGATAAAATAATAAACTCGTCCCCAAAACTCCTAAATTACTGAAATATTTTACATATGAATAAAAGATAAAAATTATATTAATTTATAATTGTAAATATATTTCAAGCTTAATAAGAAAAATTAAAAATACATTAATGGAATATTCACAAAAAGGATGAAATTTAATTTATTTCAATCTGTTTCAATTGTAGCTGTAGTGTCTCGGAGGATAGAGCTTTCGCTTTCCAATAAGGTGAGCCGGGTTCGAATCCCAGCGATGGCTGATCAATACAAGTCCCGCACCCAACTCGTACCGACTACAGAACTGACATGAAAATATCCGCAGTGGTAGACGGATCATGGGATAGAGTCCCCTTGTCGTCAGTCTAAAAGTGAGAGGTTTTCGTGGTTTACCTCTCCATGTAATACAAATGCTGGTTAGTTCCATCAAAAAGTTCACCACGAAGGTAAATTTCTCCCAATATTTGATCCAGGAGTTTCCTTGTCTTCTGGATTGGGTTCAAAATTAAAAGGCTACGGTCATGAACATTGATAGTCGTAAACCCAAAATTGGGTTGACTGTTCAACGACGGTTTTAAAATAAAATAAAATGTGTTTAAATATTGCAGTTTATTTTCTTCAGATGCTTTTATTTATGAATAAGAATCTTGCAGTTTGCATTTTTAACATCTCTATAAATTTAGACAGCTTAATATACTTTTATACGATCTCCTGAAACGTAGTTTATTTGCATCTTATATGGCAATGAACTGTAGTAAAAATTTAAGCTTCCTTTAGATATAACAATAAATATTTTCCGCAATTTTATTGCATGTTGTTCCTAAAATATCTGCACACAGAGAGAAAGATTCTGTTGGATTTATCATACTTCATGGTTAATATAACCAAAATATTAGATATTTAAATTATTCGTTTGGAAATTTCCTTTTCATATGGCAACGGTTTTCTAAAAATTCTGGTTTCTAAAATTATAGTTCCTAATACTACATATTTAGTAAAAAATACAAAATATAAATTTTAGTTTAGCCGAATAAATGGTTTCTATGCCCTGCTCTAAGGTGTTATGATAAAATTATCAAATTTTATCATATTTATTAAATTTTATCACATATTTTAAAACCATATTTTATTGTTCATTTTACCAAAATCGTTACCAAAGCACTTGATGAATTTTTTTGGTGAGAAACTATGTAAATTTACCATATTCTAGAATTTTGACTTAATTTTTTTTCTCAGTGTATAATTGAAAAAGAGTAACATTCGAATTTTGGAATGAGCAGCATATAAGCAGCATTAGTGATTTTTTCTAGCATATACTTATTAAATTAACAAAAACTTCAACTCAGATCTTCCCATTCTACTTGTTCGGGTAAATACCTCGGCATTTGAGTTTTACTTTGAGAACAACAATTAAAATTCTGTTGGAGAATAAATTCATTTTGCTCTAACTTATTATGATGATAATTTTTTAATGATACCTTTGTTGTAATCTATTTTGAAGGTAACAAATCATAGTAATATCAATAACCATTAAAAAGCAGTTCTAGATATTAAAAAATAAATAAGTAAACTAGTGAGGTTAATATGTTAATATTTCAGAAACAGAAAACTGTATTTACGAAAATAAGTATAAATCTGGGCTATTTCTCAAAATCCACAATTTTTAGGATCACTGAAAAGAATAATTCTACCTCCGCTTCGAAAAAAAAGCTAGTAAGAAAAAGTATACAATAATAAAGAATTCACAATAACATACTCCAACACCAATTTAAGCTTTAACCTATTAAACACATGCAAAGAATATTAATTTAATTCAGTCGTCCCAAAAATTGTCGATGAATTGAAAAATCCTCAAAGGAATACGAATAGGTATAGAATTGTACAGTTTGATATTTTCTGTTCGGGAAACTAGAGTATTTATTCTCACTGGATATTAAATTTAATTACAAAAATTGTCGATAGATGTC